AGTTCTTCCCCTTCAGTGCCCCTCCCTTTCTGGGGAGGCCAGTCTGCAGCAGGTGCAAAAAAAAGGTGAAGACTTTACTTTAGAATAAAGAGAGACTAGGAAAATGCAGAAAACAAGAAAGCTCAGTAGTGGTAGCAATCTTGGTGCACACAGAACCCAAGGGGCCAAGTACCAAACAGGAGAGGGAGATCCTGGAACATTTAAGCATTGTTCACCTTCTAAACATGTACGCTCCAAACAATGTGGCAGACAAACACAGAGAGCAAAAGTCGCATCACAGAGGACATGAAGAAACAAAAGAGAAGGCTGTGGTCTAACGGACCTGTTAACTGAGTACGTAATATTCCAGGTCCTGCAGCTGGGGTTGCCTTGGGAAATGAAAGTATTCCCAGCACAGTGACAATTTAAAAAAAAAAAAAAAAAAGGATGATAATAAAGACTGACAGACACTGATCACTTACAATTACCAGCCAAGGTTCCAGGTGCTAAGTGTCTCCCTGTCTTAATATATCTATGTATCTATCTACCTATCTATCATTAATCTATCTATCTATCTATCTATCTATCTATCTATCTATCTATCTATCTCCCTTTGCCGTCCCTACCACAGACTGTCATGATTATGTCTATGTATTTGCTAAGAAGATGATGATCATTATTCCCATGCCAGCACGTGCAGCCTGCATGTTCTTTAGGCAGAGTCTCTCTTGTTCCTACGTTGACTGGAGCCTGGCTTTGTGACTTGCTTTGACAATGTGATGTGTCGGAAGCTGCTTTTTGCTTTCCGAGCTAAGGCTCAGGAGACCTTGCAGCTTTGACTCTTGCTGTCTTCACCCGCTTCTGCCCTCTTGTGTAGGAGCCTGGACAAGCCTGTTGAAGATCAGCAGTCACCAGCTAGGGGTGTGCGCCCTCTCTTAGCCACCCAGTCCCAGCTGGATGAGTAACCCAGGCAACCCCAACAGGAGAACCACTGAACCCAAACTGCTGACTCACATGAGAAAATAAAACAATGGTAGGTTAGGATTTCTTGGTGAGTAATTTTGCAGAAATAGGTAATTAATCAGCACTGCCCCCACCAATTTTACAAATGAAGAAATAGGGCAAATTGCCCAAAAAGATTAGGTAATTTGCCCAAAGTTTCACAGCTAGCTAGACATGAAGCCACTGTTTGAATCTAGTTCCAGCGAATTGAGATTTTATAAAATTACCCCCTCCTCACATGTTCTCCGCAGTTTACACGGGCAAAGGTGTCCAGCTTGTTGATGGTCAGCCTCTCGATAATTGTAGAATTTAATATTATGGAATCTGTCACATGCGAAATGAATCCACAAATGTTAAGCAAAAAAGTGAGATTTTAATGAAGTTTTTGAAAAGTAGTTTTGGAGAATTGCAGTTACATGCAGAACCACTGCGCAGGTGAGACTGGTAAACAACGGAGAGCAGAAATTATTATATTTGTTTACATTTTTATTTATATCAAGGCAGAAAGAGAGAGGTATCTTGCGTTTTCTGATTCATTTGCCAAGTACCTGCAACAGCCAAAGCAGGGCCAGGCTGAAATCAAGAGCCCTGACCTCCCACAAGGGTGACAGGGACCTCGCTGCTTGAGCCACCACCTGCTGCGTCCCAGGGTCTGCCTTAGCAACAGAACCAGAACCTGAACAGAAGGTACGCTGATGTGAGCCTCCCGAGCTGCAGCTGAATACCACCTGCCCGCTCCAAGAGGAGACGGACCGTACTGAGACAACGAAAAGCTTTCACAAGAAAGTGATTGCATGTTTGCTTCAGAAGCTGTCCGTGATGGTGCTGACCATTCTTTTCTCCCCGAGAAGAGCCCATGTTTGCTCAGGGTGTGTTCTTGCCACCCAGACTGCTTTACAGTAAGGCAGGGATAAACATCTGACGACGTGTTGGCCAGTGAGAAATAGAAAAGTCTACTTGTCCTGATCAATAAGGGACAGGTCGTGCGGGGTTCTTTATCCTGGGTCTCGTCACCTTTGAGTTGGAGCCTGGATGGAATTGCTGGAGGTGCAGAGGCTGTCTGCAGCATGCGAGGAGGGAGGGGATGCCCGCAGGATGGTGGGGCCAGAAGCCAGAGGTGCCACATGCCTGTGAGGGTCTCCTTGGGCATGGCACTGTCCTTCAGTCTACCCTTGGACTTTTAGTCTTATGAGACAAACAAGCTCCAATCGCAAGTTGCTAAACTGGGTTTCTGTTAAATGCAATCTGCCTGATACAAACAGCAAAGATTAAGAGAGATGCCCTTAGGACAATGGCCGTACCATCAATTACCACTTACAAAGCACGGCGCTGTTGCAAGAGTCAGATGTGCAGTGAAGAGCACACCGCCAGGTCTTTGTGCAAGTTTACAGAAAACACTACTTTTCCAAAACCAACATTAGACTGCCTGTGTTTTCTTTTTAAAGATTTATTTTTATTACAAAGCCAGATATACAGAGAGGAGGAGAGATAGAAAGGAAGATCTTCCATCCGATGATTCACTCCCCAAGTGACCACAATGGCTGGAGCTGTGCCGATCCAAAGCCAGGAGCCAGGAACTTCCTCCAGGTCTCCCACACGGGTGCAGGGTCTCAAAGCTTTGGGCCGTACTCACTGCTGGATGGGAAGTGGAGCTGCTGGGATTAGAACCAGCGCCCACATGGGATCCCAGGGCGTGTTCAAGGAGAGCACTTTAGCCGCCAGGCCACGCCACCAGGCCCTGCCTGTGTCTTCTTAAAGATGTATTTATTTTTATTGGAAAGAGACAAGGAGACAGAGAGAAAGATCTTCCATCTGCTTGTTCACTCCCCAAGTAGCTGCAATGGCTGGAACTGAGCCAATCCAAAGCCAGGAGCCAGGAGCTTCTTCTGAATCTCCCACACGGGTGCAGAGTCTAAAGGCTTTCCCAGGACATGAACAGAGAGCTGGGTGGGAAGTGGACCAGCTGGGACATAATCTGGCACATGTGGATGCCAACACGTGTAGGCAGAAAATTAGCCAATTGAGCTATTGTGCCAGCCCTTCCCTGTCTTTTTTGAAATGTATTTACTCGCAAGGCAAAGAATCAAAGACAGAGAGACAGATAAAAGAGTAACAGAGAAAGAGGAGCAGAGATTTTTCATCTGTTGGTTCACTCCACCAAAGGGCTGCAAAAGCCAGGCTGGACCAGGCCAAAACCGAGCTCCAGCGCGGTCTCCCACCTGGGGCCCAGGGAGCCAGCCACCTGCTGCTCTTCCAGGCTTGCTAACAGGGAGCTGGACCTGAAGCAGAGCAGCGGGGACTCAAACCAGGGATCCAATCTAGGATGGCAGTGTTGCAATGGGTAGCTTAATATGCTGTGCCACAGTGCTGGCCTCTTGACTAAGTTTTTTAGGCAAACATCCTAATTTATTCAAATGCAACATACATATAAGAAAGTTGGCTGATGTATTCATGTGTGCATTGTTTTCAAAACGATGACATTATTGCATGGAAACCTACATTTTAGTAAATGTTGGCTAAAATATATGTTTGCATAATATCCCGTTTAATGTCCCAGCAAGGAAGGCCCAGGAAGCCTTTTGACGTGTGCGTCCAAGTTCGCCTCCTCCACAAGGCTCCACTTTAACAGTTTTTTCTCTTCCCTCTGGTTGTTTTTGGGTCATGGCCATGTCTTCCCCGTCCGTCCCTCTCAGGAAGTGGTATATGTCAGCTGTCGCAGACGCAGGAGATTAGAGGAACACATTAGGGTTAGTTTCCCTGTTACGGTCCTGCTCCACGGATGAGGATGCTCCCAGGCAGCAGGAATTTCTTGCCCCCAAACAAAGCCTCAGGAAATCTCAATGATACTGAGAATCCAGAAGTCACAAGCTCTATTCAAACCAGCAGGAACAATGCGGTTAAACAAATTCTCTCAAAATGACTGAGGGAAAACCACTTGGAAATCAAGCAGGTTTTTCATTAATATCTGGATCAGAGAAGAAATAAGTAAAAAAAAAAAAAAAAGCTATTTTACTACAAAACTGAAGAAATCAGCTAGAGCTGCAATCCAGGGAGATTTTAGAGTCAATCAATTGTTTTATTATTAAGACTGAAATTTAAGAAAAAAAACTTTAAGATATAGAAAAATAAAGGTAACAGCTGTCAGTGAGATAAAAAAAAATAGAAGTCTAAATGTATGGGAAGTCAAGTCTGAGCCTTTGGAAAACCAATTAAAGACTTCCATAGAGTCTTATTATTTTATTTTAATTATTTTTTTAGGAAAAAAAGAAAGAAAGCAAAAAACAATTATTAGGGACGAGAAGTAGAAATCTAGACTTCTGGGCACGGTGTGATAACGTAGTGGTAAAGGTCCTCACCTTGCATGCGCCGGGAACTCATACAGGCGCCGGTTCTATCCCGGCAGTTCAACTTCCCATCCAGCTCCCTGCTTGTGGCCTGGGAAAGCAGTAGAGGACAGCCCAAAGCCTTGGGACCCTGCACCCGCGTGGGAGACCTGGAAGAAACTCCTGGCTCCTGGCTTCGGATCGGAACAGCTTCAGCTGTTGCGGTCACTTGGGGAGTGAACCATGGACTGAAGATCTTCCTCTCTGTCTCTCCTCCTCTCTGTATATCCGCCTTTCCAATAAAAATATAAACATATTTTTAAAGATTTATTTTATTGTTATTACAGAGTCAGACTGCTTTCCCAGGCCACAAGCAGGGAGCTGGATGGGAAGTGGAGCTGCCGGGGTTAGAACCTGTGTCCATATGAGATCCAGGGCGTTCAAGGCGAGGACTTTAGCAGCGAGGCCATGGCCCCTGGCCCCAAAATAAACAAATCTTAAAAAGAAAAAAAAAGAAAGAAAGAAAGAAAGAAAGAGAGAAAGAAATTCAGACTTCTTTTGTGTCCTGGTATAGCCAGCCAACTTCATCGTCTAGAGGATAAAGGGGAATTGGTAGACCTGTGTGTGACGTCACGGCGCGCGCCGGAAGTGGCTGGGCGGAGTCTGGCCTGCGCGCTCCTGGTTTCCGGCGGCTAGTCGTGGCTGACGCTGGAGGTGAGATGTGGCCTCAAGGTCGCTGCGACTATGCGAGACCCCCAAGCGGACCCGCGCCTGGGCGCAGCCACCCTGCTGATGGCTGCCAGGGAGTAACTACTACTGTGCCAAGGAAGCCCCCACTGCTAGACAGCCCGGGTGAAGGAAGCCACAGTAGGTCCTACAGTCATGCTGGTTCCCGGGTGTGCGACGAGGACCGCAGTTTTTCTGATGGGAAAAGCGGTCCGCCTCACGGAGGACATGACTCTCCCTGTGGGTGGCCTGGATGGGGACAGCCTCAGCACGGGAAGAGGCGGACCTTACTCCCTCTCCCCCCGCTGCCCCTGCGACAGCAGGCTCCCTCTTTCACGAGGGACAGGAAAGATGGCTCTAGAAGAACAAGTATCCACTCTTCCCATGGCGGGAGGGGCCGGTGTCGCCATAAAAGAGACGCTCCTTTGCTCCGCCACTGCCCCGTGGGCCGCAGGGACTCTGCTCACAGCGTCAGCAGCAGGAACTGCTCTCCGGAAAGAAACAAAGCTCACTCACTCCAGCAGCATCCAAGTCAGGAGGCACCTGTCCAGTCTTTGCAGACATCACGGGATACTTCGCCACCGAGTCGTGCCGTGGTTCCTTCATCAAAGGCGCCAGCCACCGCACCATTGCTCACGGAGCAGCCCGAGGCACCTGAATCCAGTGCGCCCCAAGGCGTGGAATTCTTTGAATTCAGCCAGCTCAGCGCTCGTTCTAAAGCCATAGCAATGAAAACCAGAGAGATTGAGCAGGTTTACCGGCAAGACTGTGAAACGTTCGGGCTGGTTGTGAAGATGCTGGTGGAGAAGGACCCTTCCTTAGCCAAGTCCATCCAGCCTGCCCTGAGGCAGAACTTACAGGAACTGGCCGAGCACTGCTTGGGGGAGCTCAAATGCTTCATCACCGAATACGACACTGCCACCCCTGGGCTCCGAGAGCTGAGCCAGGAGGTTCCTCGCTCAGCAGGGAAGTATTCCTAGATGCCCTGAACCCTGAGCTGTGTAAAACCTTCATAGATGGACGTTGTGCTCTGAAGAGACATCCTTTGTGGTAGGTGACCACCTTTCCATGTCAAATAGAGCTTCTTCAGCAGCTCTCTCGGGGAGAACTGTCTCCCCCTACAACAGTGGCCGTGGGACAGCGGATGACTCCCGCTCTGAGAATCAGCCCCAGAGAGCCACGTGCTGGCCTCCCCCTCGTGTGTCCCTCCTGTGGGAGTTTCTGGCACCGTGAGGCCCAGGGCCCAGACATCCCATTTCATCTGTGTTCGAGTGTAGTGTCCTGGTAACTGGGACATGTGGGGGTTCTAGTGGACAAGACAGAGCGCTCAGCAGGCCCCCTCAGGGGATGGCCTCGGGTTTAAAGTTGGGAGTTTCAGAACATTAAATATGTTTGAAATACCCGGAAGTCTGCTTTTAATTTTTCTATAGACGCCATGGCTGATAAAATGCCTACAGTTAAAGCGTGTGCAGCTTACCCAGGGTTCCTGGGCTGTGCCGGGGCAGACGGGTGTTCTCATCACTGCCCTCCGTGTGCTGCAGGGCCACTGGGGCACTGGCTGCAGCCCAGCGGCATCTGGATGGAGAGTGAGGTGGTCCCAGGGCTCGGGCTGTCTCCTCACCGGGCCTTCTCCGGCCTCCTGTCTCCCACTCCCTTCTCCAGCATGGCCATTGTTTGGATAACGTTTGTTGAAAATATCGAAAGAGCAACCCCAGAGTGAATGTAATGTGAATGATGTGACCTATCTCTGACGGGTGCCTCCAGATGCTTGGTACCCAGTCGATCAGTTTCAAGCCCCCGGTTGAGGGCAGCGATGAACACTGCTCCGTGGGCTGCTAGGGCCCTTTGCTGTCACTGACCGAATGCTGCGCTGACCTAAGTAGCGTGAAGGCACCGCTGGTACCCTGATGTCACATGCTTTGTCATGTGTATTATAAAGGCCAAGAACTATTGGCCCGGCCTCCATGTGCTGCCACCCGCGGCCCTGGGTCTCTTCAGGGCAGCCCTGTGTTCTGGTAGTTCAGATATCACAACGTTACACGTAAACGTGAGGATGCAGGCCTGACAGAGGGTTCCCTCGGCTAGAGAGTCTCTAACACGCGTGGGGCGTGGGAATAGGGGGCCAGCAGTCCTCCTCCTCCCTCGGCTTCACTTCCGTGCCTGCTCTCTCCAGCAAGGCCACAGTAGCCTGCAGTGTTAAATCCCTGGGGGTCTGGAGCCGCCTTTCCAGTCTAATTGTAGGGATGGCACAGTTCAGTATGTACCAGGGAATGTACTTTGCAGAATATTTGCTTTTACACTGTTGTTTTTAGTAGGCCCAGTTACTAAAGTTGTTATTTGATTCTGAAGCCTTTAGTGATCAACAGGAAAATCCCATTCTGCAAGGTGTTTTGTTCATTTTAAAACTGCAAATAAAGCAACTACGTTTAAGTTCAAACAAACAAACAAACAAAAACTGTGTATATTCCCAAAGGTGACCCAGCAGTGGGCACGAGGAGCTCTGAGCCGAGTGGGGAGCGCAGAGGCCTGGGACAGCCGCCCTCGCTGGGCCCCACCTGGAAGCCGCACATCGCTGCACCTGGGGCAGAGTGCAGGCTCAGGGCGCAGGGAAGCCGCGAGCAAGGCGGCAGATCTAAAGAGGAGGCCAGAGTGACTGCAGCTGCTTTGAAATGTGTGAGAAGCACTGAGGTTTTCTCGTGGTAAGTCTTCCCATCCAGAAACACGGTGCAACTTGAAAACGACACCTTCAGTAAGATCCAAAGGTCTCCTTGTAAACGCTTCTCTCGTTCAGTGTAGTCTCTCTTTGTTTTCTGGATTTTTATCAACATGGTGCATGGATTGCCTCCCACTTCTATTCCTAGTAATTTGTGTGTCTGTGTGTGTGTGAGCATTGAGAAAAATTATTTATTATGCTATGTTTATCTAGAATCTAAGAACTTTATCAAAATGTCTTTACATTTCAGTAGTGTTAGTAGATCCCTATGTCTCTACAAAAATCAGCTCAAAGTGCATTAAAGACTAACACATGAGATCCCTGGAAGACAACATACAGGAGAAATGCTTCAGGCAGCGGGGCCTCGGGTGAAGCTCCGAACGTGCAGGTGGCGGAAGCGGAAACGGCTCACGGGAACATCTCTGCACAGGGCAAGGAGAACTTCCGGAGTGGGAGGAAATATGTGCCAACTGTCCCTCCGACAAAGGGGTTAGAGCCAGCCCTGTAGCTAAAAAACAAAACAAAACAAACAAAAAACTTCCCCAGCTGTTTCAACTGAAAATGGACAACATGGGGCTGGTGTTGTGGCATGATAGGTTGGCCACCACCTATCATACTGACATCCCATAGGGCACTGGTTCCCATAGGGGTACAATCAGGACCTCACTCAACCTCCACTGCCTTCCCAGGCCATAAGCAGAGAGGTGGATCGGAAGAGGATCAGTTGGGACATGAACAGGCACCCCCACGGGACTGCAGCACCAGCAGGCTGAGGATTAGTTTGCTGTGCCACTGTGCTGGCTCCAGTCTTTTTATAACAAATGGACAAAAGACCTGAACACATATTTCTCAAGAGCACCACTAATCAACAGGGAGCTGGACATGAAAACCACAATGTGATTAGCACACTCCTAGTTAGAACAGGTGAAAAAGACCGAACCGGGCCAGACCCCAACACCCTCTGGTGTCCTGGAGGACCAGGGCAGATGTGGGATGGACTAGGCAAGGTCTCAACCCCCTACTGAGCCATGCGTGAGCCATTTGTGGGTATAGACGAGCCATGGCTGGGCTGAAACATCCAACAGCAAGAACCAGCTGGGGTCGAAGGCCAGTCAGGAAAAGAAAGCCATTGTTCCTGCTATGACAGGAGGTGAACTGAGTAGGGCTGGCTCATGGACCCACTGGTAAGTGTGAAACCTGGCATTGGGAGAGGTTCTGATGGAGGAGCCTGGGAAACTCCTCTGGCAGGACACAGACCCAGCAGGTAAGTGCAAGAAACATGATAGGAAACAGCCCAGAAGAGGCCATGGAAAGTTACCCACTGGCATACAATTGGCAGGGGTCAGGGGAAGATCAAGCTGAATCTGTCCACGTCATCCACTGGCAAATCCAGGCACCAGAACAGTGTGGGTCGAGCCGGGTTCAGTCACAATAAAGACTAGTGCACAATACGGAATGCCAAGGTGAGGTTGCCTGTACTGGAAATGACCGCAGCGCCCTACCAGCAAGCATGAGAACAAGGGGGCAGTGCCAGCAGAGGAGTAAGGGGTGGTTCCTTTGGTGGACAGCTACTCCTGCTGGAGAGCATGAGCTGGGATGGGGGCAGACCAGACTAGGCCGGGCTACAACACTTGTGAGCCTCAGGTGGACTAGATCAGGGAAAAGCCAGGCTGGGCTGATTATTCCTACTGGTGCAAACAAAATTAGAGTGTGTGAGGGTTGTTTGGGCTTAGCCATAGCATCAGCTGCAAGAAGCTGGCACTGGGGGTTAGTTCTGTCAAGTCAAACCACAGGACTAGCTGGAGAGTGGATAATCTGGGAGTGGGAGAGGCCTGGGAGGGAAATGGCGGGCTCCTCCCTCTTTTTTTTTTTTTTTTTTTGATTACATTGCATTGTGTGACACAGTTTTGTAGGCACTAGGATTCCCCCTCCCCTCCCGGGCTCCTCCCTCTTGGGTTACCACTTCCACGGGAGGGCATAAAACTAGGACAGCCACTGGGGTAGAAAGGGGTGTGGGACAGACTGGATTACTGCTACACATACTGGCAAACCAGGGTAGGGGGCGGGCCTGGTGGGGGTTATTGTGGGTCGCTCCAACTAGGCTGCAGCTCCCACTGGTTTATGTGAGGGCCAAGTATGTGCTGGGCAGAACCAGGCTGGACTGCAACACCCATTGGTTCCAGTGGAAGTCGGGAGTGAAAACAGAACCAACCCAGCGATTGCAACCACCAGCTGACCGGGGCAATGGATGGTGCCAGGCCCTGTGCTTGCTAGCACATAGCAGAATCTGGTTTGAGAACACCTCAGACAAAGTTTCTTTGGAGATCTCCCCAATCAAAATGCTGGACTCAGAACCCTAGCCAAGAAAAGAGAGAAGACAGAACAGATCAACCAACCATCTCAGCTGTATGTTGGCAGTGAAATACGGGTCAAACAGAGACTCTATGATGGACTATGACAACCAGTGGATTCTTCAAAGACCTCATAGTGCTTGGAGTGGCAAGATTGGCAGCGATTCATAACTGTTGAAATATCAAACCACCTGAGCAAGAACCTCAGAGCATACCCTACATCCAGGACCTGGGGAGGGTGGGAAAATGGGTGGGCCTTCTCCCTTAATACCCCCCTTTAAACATGAAGGAAACTATATGGAAAAAATAAGTCTTACCCACTTGCCTGTAGCCCTTGATCCTTTTTACCCTAATTAACTATGTAAAGGTTGTCAATAAAAATTTTTTTAAAAAAGGAAAATATGAATTTAAAGAGAAAAAAAAAGAACAGGTGAAAAAGAAGACAGTGCTGGCAGAGACATGTATGCAAGGGGCACACGTGAGCTTCTGACGAGATGGGTGCGGTCCCACGCTTGTCGCAGTCAAGTCAAAGAAGGAGGCTGATGTCTCCCAGCACGCAAGTGGAAGGACATGTGACACAACACACATGGCCGTAAGAAGGGATGGCATGCAGCCATGCGCAGCAACGAGGGGGAACCTGGAGAAGCAGACAGGGCAGGACAAAAACTGTCAACTCATTCACATGTGGAATCTGGGCCCAGCGCAATAGCATAGTGATTAAAGTCCTCGCTTTGCATGCCTGTGATCCCATACGGGCACCGGTTCTAATCCCGATGGTCCCGTTTCCCATCCAGCTCCCTGCTTGTGGCCTGGGAAAGCAGTCAAGGACAGCCCAAAGCCTTGGGACCCTGAACCCGCGTGGGAGACCCGGAAGTGCTCCTGGCTCCTGGCTTTGGATGGGCTCAGCTCCAGCTGT